TACCGCCGGACGTTACTGAGCAGACAACTGTCCGAAGGAGAAATTACATTAGTCTTTTAACAATGCTAACTGAGTTTTGGGCAAAAAGGAAATATTTAGGTAACAGTCTAGCTTGGCAAAAAGAATATATGCAGAAAATTTCAAATATAATTGTAGTTAACATGGACAACATTTAGATCTTTATAGTTTTATTTCCATGAACCATATGAATAATTAGTAGCTGTCAATCTCGAACAAATTATTTAATCTCTCTGCTTTAATTTCCTCATCTGTGAAATGAGGATAATAATAGCACCTACCACATAGGGCTGTTGTGAATTCCCCACCTTACACATGAGGAAACTGATTCAAAGAGAGATTAACCTTAAAAATAAACTATATACCCGGTATATGGCAATTTTATACCACCAGGTAGGTGACTCTGCATAAATCCATTGCTATAACTAGAAAAACACCTCAAAATTCACATGATAGAATAGTACAGGAACACGACTCTCTCAAGTAGAGAAGTTATGTCAAACAGTGAAGGTAAACAAACAAGGAAAGGCTGGAGAGTTTGTCTAAATAGAGACAAAATCTGTAATAGCAGTGGTGATTTTGTTTCTGGGGAAGCATGTCCTTTTTTGTTACCTCCACTTCTCTTCTAATAGCATCAATTTTAAAAAGCTTTTATTTTGATATTTTTCATATCTCATAAAAGGAGAAGAGTAAAATGAACCTCCAAGTGCTCAGTACTAGCTTCAACTATTATCAATGTTTTGCCATAATTCTTGACTCTATCCCTCCAACATTTTTACATTCCAGACAAACTGAATTTTCACCCACGAATACTTCATTATATGTTTCTTTAAATGCATAATGACTTTAAGTGACTCTAAAAATACCCTTAAGTACAATGCCATTATTATACCTAAAAATTAAGTTAGTATTACTTAATATCCATCTATATTAAAACTCATCCAAGTGTTTCAAAGTCATTGCTGATGTTTGAAACAAGATCCAGACAAGATCTATACATTACATTTGATTGATAGATCTCCTAATATCTTTCCTAGTGTAGACTTCTCTCCTCCTGTTTTTCATGCCATTTATTTGTTGGAGAAATTAGATAATTTTGTCCTAAGACCATGAAAGCATTTTAAGATTTTACTGCTGTGATGTGGTTTTTTTTTTTTGTTCTTTTTTTTTGCCTTTAGATTCTATCCCACCAGTGATATACGGTAATACTACCTTTATTAGAGTTACCAGCACTAAATTATAATATTTTCAGAACACAACCATGCAAAAATTATCTAGATATTTTAAAAATAAAAATCAGTTGTAAATTTTTATTTAAAAAGTGATTTTCCTTAACTTCCCAGAATTTCTAAAAATTTAATGAACATCTATGTTTCTCTTTGATATTATGCATTTAAAACTATTATTTTTCTTAGATTTTCCTGATTCAATAGTGCACTATAATTAATAGAAAACTTTTAAAAACAAACTTTCAAATCAGGAAAATGTATTACAAATGTTAAGTATGGGTGACGCCAGAAAATCTACAATGTAAAGAAAATAATTAACTAATGATGCAATCAATATTATGTAATATTCCTACTCAGGACCATTAATCTTTTTCTGTGAAATGAAAGTCATATATTCTGAAGACAAGGAGAAGGCACAGGTTGCCCTTTCAATTTTGTTTTTCACTTGAGTTTGGACAGATTAGAGCATTAGTAATAATAGTTGAAAATTGACCCAGAAAAGCAGGACTTTTGGTTTATAAGAAAACTATAGATAAATATGTACATTATTATTTCTAAATATAGAAAAGATTGAACAGTAGTATAAATATGATAAAAGACTTCTTCTCCTTAATTAGGCAGAAACTTGCCAGGTGATATCTAATGACAGAAAACAGTATGGAATTAGAGCAGGGTCACTGACCCAGAGTCAGACAGATCTGGGATGGATGATCAGTTTTGTCACTTATTAGTGCACTTTAGTGAACTTATTGACTCTCTAAGACCATCTATTTGTTCATTCCTAAAATAACATGCCTCATATGCTTCTCAGATTAAAAGTGTTAAAATAGTGTATGATGCATTAAAAACGTTTTTTAAAAATGCTTAAAAAGATCTACAGTCTATGCTGAGACTAGGGTAGGTACACTCATACAGCATTCTAATCAACTCAGAAAGTCTCAGTAGAGATTGAAAACAATGGAAAGCAATTTAAAATATCTTAAACAAGACTTACATTTAATAGACTGTATATTAAGCATAATTGTTTGACATAAAACGTTACACATATACATTTCATGCTTTATGAAGGGTTCTTGGTACTAAATCAGGATCCTATTCTATGTATAGATATTTATTTCTTGTCTTCAAGAGTACATATTTGAAATGATCTAAAGACGTTCCTTTACAGGCACCTCACAATAAGTTCCTAATCAAAAATGTATTCACAGACGCGGATTTATTTTCATTCTTTATCAGAAACCCAAATTATTCTGAAATGGGCGATTTTCTTCAACTTCCCTACCTGTGCTCTGGGGTAGCAGGTTGGGGATAATTGGCTTCAGAAACTTGAACTCATTTGTCCTGGAGCCTCCAGTCAGACACACCTCATACTGGTAGCTCTGGGAAAGTGTCCCAGTGTGGTTCACGTCCACCAGATGTCCTGGAAAGGGGCCCTCGGGCACCGAGCAGCGACCCACCGAGGCCACCCTGCTCCTCCTGCACAGTCGCACCGCCACGAACAGGAGCACCGACGAGAGGAAGAGCGACGACACCGAGGCCAACGCCACCACCAGATAGACGGTGAGCGAGTCGTCCTGGTCCTGGACCGGGACCGCCTCCGGGAGCGGCAGGTAGGGCTGGGAGAAGCCGTCCACCAGGAGCACGTGCAGCGTGGCGGTGGCCGAGCGCGGAGGCTCGCCATTGTCCTTGACCAGCACCACCAGCCTGTGCTTGACCGCGTCGCGCTCGCTCAGCAGCCTGGCGGTGCGCACCTCGCCATTGTGCGCCCACACACCGAACAGCCCGGGCTCCGTGGCCTTGAGCAGCTGGTACGACAGCCAGGCGTTCTGGCCCGAGTCGCCGTCCACCGCCACCACCTTGGTCACCAGGTAGCCTGGCTCGGCCGCCCGGGGCACCAACTCGGTACAGGGCGCGGAGCCATTCTGCAGAGGGTACAGCACGAAGGGCGAGTTGTCGTTGGCGTCTAGCACCAGCACGCGCACCAGCGCCTCGCTGCTTAGCGCCGGGGAGCCGCGGTCTGTGGCGCCCACGCGGAACTCGATGGCCTGCAGGGCCTCGTAGTCCAGCGACCTGAGGGCGAACAGGTGGCCGTTGTCCGCGTTGATGGAGACCAGGGAGGCGAGGGGCAGGTGCGGGTCCTGGGGCGGCAGCAGCGAGTAGGTGACCTGGGCGTTGGTGCCTGAGTCTCTGTCTGTGGCGCTAACGCTGCCGATGTGCAGGGCGGGGCTGTTGTTCTCGCGGACGAACAGGGTGTAGGAGGTTTGGGTGAAGGCGGGGGCGTTGTCATTGACGTCGGAGACCAGCACGGTTATGTTGTGCTCAGTTTTCAGCCTGGGTGTCCCCAAGTCGGTGACGGTGATGGTGATGTTGTACTCAGTGTTCCTCTCTCGATCCAAAGGTTTCTCTGTTACCAGAGTATAGAAGCTCTCTACAGATGGCTTCAGGATGAAGGGGAGATCGTCCTGGATGGAGCACGCTGTCTTTCCATTGTCCCCAGAATCTCTGTCTCTAATCCTAAAAACAGCCACGACTGTCTCGGATGAGTTTTCTGCAATTGGACTAGTAAGTGAAGACAGGAGCAGCTCGGGTCGATTATCGTTTATATCTGTTACCTCAACCACCACAGTGCATTTTCCAGAAAGCCCGCCGCCGTCTTTGGCCTGAATAGTTAATGTGTAAGTTTGAATTGCCTCATAGTCCAGTTCCGCTTTAAGATGAAGACTGCCAGATGTTGGATTAATTTGAAACGTTTTGAGAATTATTTCAGTGGCATAAGAAAATGCATAGGCTATTTCCCCATTACTTCCGGTATCTAAATCTCTGGCTGACACGGAGACAACTATGGAACCAACGGGGCTATTTTCGGGCACCTGCACTTTGTAAAGCGACTGCAGAAAATCAGGGGCGTTGTCATTTATGTCTAGAACCAGGATGCGTACGAGGGCCGTCCCTGATCTGGGAGGAGAGCCGCCATCTAAAGCGGTGAGGGTTAAACTGAACTCTGGTATCTCTTCCCGATCCAGCACTTGATTCAGCACCAATTCGGGATAGATATTCCCCTCCCCACTATCATGGACATTAATATGGAAATACGCATTGGGGCTGATGGTGTAGTTACTCAGGCTGTTGGTTCCAACATCTGAATCCTGTGCACTTTCTAGGAGAAATGCCGCCCCTGGAGTTGTACTTTCTAATATTTTCAAGGAAATCTCTCTGTCTAGAAATACTGGAGAGTGATCATTGATGTCTCTGACCCTTAGTTCAGCACGGAAAATCTGAAAAGGTTTTTCCAATAACAACTGGAAAGGCAGCACACAGGGCTCTCTGGGGCCACACAGTTCCTCTCGGTCCAATTTCTCATTTAGAATTAAATCAGCAGTAAGCGGACTGAGCAGTAAAAATGGCAAGTTCTGGTCTGAAACAATTCTAGTTCCCCGGGCTCTCAGTTCCCCTACCCCTAACCCTAGGTCTTTCGCCAAATTGGTAAGAAAGGTGCCTCTCTCGGTTTCCTCCGCCACAAAATACCGAAGCGGTTCGGCGCCAGCCAAAGACATTCCCAGAAAAACACAAAGAAATAGGACTTGCCTTTTCTGCACAGCACGCACTACTCTGGCCTCCATTTTTCCTTGAATCAGTCTTTCAAAATGACTTCCACTCAGCCTCCAGCAGCTCTCACAAATGGCAGCAGCCGAATCCTTTGAAATGAGCTGAATAATACCAATGTTTGTGGGGAAGGATCCTTACTTTCCCCCAATTCCTATTACCACCTTTTCCTTTCCTACACTTTTCAGATTTCGTTTTTACTCTGGAATCTGTAACATCCTTTCTTTGGGAAGATATTTCTCTCTCTCTTTTTAGCCAGCAGCGCCACCTTGCGTTTTGTGGGTGTTATTCCCGTTATGAAGACTAGAGGAAAAAGATGGCGGATTGAAGGAATTCTGCAGCAAGAGTGATTTGTCCCCGGATTCTTTGCTGTTTCATTCCATCTTTATCCTCAAATGGTCACAGTAATGCTAGTAAGTAAAAGCTGATGTCGTTTTCCCCTGTGATAATCTGGATTCGTAGAAGAATTAATTTATTGTCTTCTTAAATCTAGGGGCATGCAACTAAACTCTGGCTCCCTACCGAAATCCTAAGAAAACCTCCTATTTTAAAAATGGATAATAAAAATATATATGAGAAAATGAAGCCTCTTCCTTGAAGTCAACAAATATTCGTTGGGGACATTTTATTTATTTGTAAAGTATTTAACAATAATAACGTGAATATGGCAGAATAATTGACCTTTTTCCAATTTCTTGTGAATTAAACAATTATTCCACTTTCCAGGTCTTACTCTTTACCCATGATATTTCTTGGAACACTTTCTGCCTTCCCCCAACCCGACCTTCGTCCTTCACCTGCTTTAAGTATTATATAGAAATTATTGTTCATCTATAATTCCAGTGACTAGAATCTCCAATATCCAATGAATACTCTTAAAATTAGTACTAGCAAGTAGGTCAATCTTGCATTTGTGGAAGTGCTTCTAGCATTTCATCTTCAACTATGATGGTTGATCTCAATTTGGGGTAAATATTCCTTTTTTGAATCAAGAAAGTTTTCTTTTTATTCTTTCATATTTTGAAGTGATTTTTGATAGCTGTTGAAATAATGCAGTTATTCTTTAGTTTCTGAATTATTGAGTTATTGATATAAATGGCATTTAACCATAATGTATTATTGTTTTAGTGCACAAATAGATATGATGTGTCAACATGGTTTTAGGATTTTTCTAGTTAATGTTGTTTTCCTTGGGTGTGTTTGCCTTTTATGGCTTTGGTATTAAACTGTTATACAGGCATCACAGAATGTGTTAAGGAGCTTTTTATCTATTTTATACAATAGTTTTAATAATTATATTATTCGATGTTTCTACATGCTTAATTCCAACTTGCCTTTTAAACTGGTTAGGTTTGGTGACTTCACTTGCAGTAGATCTATGACTACCATGTACATTTTACCTTTGGTTATTAATCTGTTCAGGTTTTGTATTTTTAAGTAACTTGCATTTTATTTTGAAAATCATTTTATCTAGTTTGCAAATTTCTTGGCATGTTTTCATTGTGCTATTTACCTTTAATTGTATCCCTATTTTTGTTAGTGATGTTTAGCATTTTATCTCCTTTTTGTTCTTGCTGAGACTTGCAAGAGCTCTACTGATATTTCGAAATGCATTTTTTTTCAAAATAATATGTGACCTTGTCCAAAATTAAATAGCACTAAGAGGCTTATAATAAAATACAATGCTTTTCTGCCCTTTTCCACATCACTTTTCTTAGTTCCCCTCCTAAGAGGTAGCCATTTTAAAACTTTTAGTTATCTCTTTGGTCACTAATCTGTTTTCTGATATATTTTGATAAATTAATTTTAGAAATTATCAATTGACTCCTTATTATGTTAGATTACATTTTAGGTATTTCAGATTTTCTTTTACTTACCATATATTGGGAGCATTATTGTGCATTAATTATATTTTCTTTTTCAATTTTTTCTTGAAGTTAATAATTGTCTTGCCTTTTCATTTATTGATTTTTTTTATCCCTATCACTTATTCATCCCACAGATACAATTGCCTCTCAGCACAATTTTCCCCATAGTCATTTCCATTCCTCCTGAGACTTCAATTTTTCTTTGAATAGGGCAGTTGCTTTCTATGCCTACTGCACAGCTATCATTCTGGATTTTTTCTTTGCTCTCATTCTTGGAATTCTTTGCCTTTTATACTGAATGTGTTTGCTAGTTCTGGGATTTTATAACTTGCCGTTTTTCAGTTTACTCTGTGGAATTAACTAGACCACATCCTCCAGTAGGTTCATATGATTGAAAAGATGATACAATGTTAAGAGGATTGCTAATGATATCCTTCAAAATCCCTGTCTCTCGAGTCAAATAGCTCCTTACTGGACTAGTTGTTCATTATGCCTGAGACTCAGTTGTCATCCTGGGATCCTCCTTCAACATCACCCAGAGATTCATTTCACTTCTGTCCTGTTTTGGATCTTCTCATTTCTGTTTCTTCTGTCTTGAATTGGGCTCTCATTTTGATAGATATCTTCCAGTAGTTTTCAGAGAAGGGTGTTTCAGAGTTAAATGTTTTTGTGATCTTAAATGTACTAAAATGTCTTTATTCTACCCTCAAACTTGATTAGTAGTTTGACTAAGTATAGAGTTTTAGCTTGAAAATAATTTTTCTTCAGAATTTTTGTTTTGTCAATGAGATTTCCAAGCCAATCTGTTTGCTAAGAAGTCTAAAGCTAATCTTATTTCTTATCTTCTATGTGTCATTGTCCCAAGAATTTTAAAATTAAACAATTACATGTTTTGGCTTGGGGTTATTTTCCATCCATTTTACAGTGTAATTGATGAGACATTTCATATAGGAAACTAATTTCCTCCTGATCTTAGAAATCTCCTTAAATTATTTCATTAATAATCTAACTCCCATTCCTTTTTTAGAATTTCTGTAATTCAGATGTTAGACCTCTGGTATGGTTCTCTAATTTCTTTATTTTTTTTCTCTCCTACTTGCCATTTTAAAATATTTTTGCAGTATTTTCTTGAACGTTTTCTTAACTTTGTCTTCAAGCCCTTATATTGAGATTTTTATTTCTTTATTAGGTTAGTATTTTCCTAGACTTATCTCTTTTATTTAAAGAGCTCTCTTTTGGACTTATTTCTTAGATGCAGTAACTTCTTTTTTCATCTGATGATATTAATAATAGCTTTTCCCCCAAGTTTTCTTCTTGCTGCAGACTTTCCATTTTCTCCAAGTTACCTTTTTACTCTTTGCTTTTCTTTAATTTCTGTATGCCTTTTCAGAAACTTTCTTCATGTGTTTGTTCTTAATTTAATTTGGGAGACTACAGAGCTGAGTGATGGCTCTGAGTAGGTTCGTAATTCTTGTCCACTTTGAGTTTTCATTCTAAAGTGAACTGGGAGCACTGATGGATGCGGAAACCTCAATGTCAGTGTGATTAGGTCTTTCTAGTTGGACTGGCCAGATTACCGCACTCTTTAAAATCCCCCATCCAAAAGGAAAAGATATAGATTGGAAAAGGTGAAGGATTAAGTGGGTGAAGAGGAGTACAGTTTTGCATCAGGATAGGCTAAGTTATGCTTCAATACCAAACAACTTCCCCAAATCTCAACAGCTTAACACAATGAAAGTTGATTTCTTTCTTATACTATATACCCTATATAGTTCAGCCTGGGGCCCTCCTCACTGCAGTCAGTCAAGGATCTAAACTTGTGAAGATTCCATCTTCACATATACTTCCGTGATCACTATAGTGGGAAAAGAAAATGTGTTAAACCATGCCTCCAAAAACTTCAGCCCAGAATGGATATATGTCACTTCTCACATTTTATTAACCAAAGAAAATTACATGGCTACACATATTTAAAAAGAAATAGAATTCAAATTCTACCATATGTCCAAGAAGGGGAGAACCAAAATATTTGTAATTGGTTCTAGTGACTATCATAGCATTTTAACAATCAACCAGAATTCAATATTTAGATGGTTACTTACTTTTGCTATCCATATTACCCATGCCCTCCATTTTGTTGGCAGCACCTCTCATATAATAACCCTGCTTTTTGTACTCATCAGAAAATAAAACTCCAGACTTCTGTTAGGGTCAAGGGGATAGGTAGGTTACTCAGTGACTGGAGTGGGGAAATGTGATCTAACTGCTAGAGATTTAACTGCTTTACAGGGAGCTTTAACACAATCTTTTTTATTTGGCATGCTACTATCATTTCCAGCGGATCTAGGATTGACATTTCAGATGCCTCTGTATGTCCCACCATCTAAATAGAATTGATTCTAGACCCATAGTCTAAGCAGGATTGATTCTCAGCTCTTCCCATTTACACTACAACTGGTAGTTGATTTGTCAGGTCTACTAAATCATTCATCTGTTTTCCAACTTCTAAGAGTTTTCCCTGTTGTCTTCTACATTATTCTCTTCATCCTTATTAAGTTTGTTTCTGAAAATATCTGTTCACTTTTTCTTAGTGCATTTTTAGAGGGAGCCAAATGAAAGGTACATGTCTCATACATCAGTTATACATAGAACCTAAAATATCCTTGGCTTTTTTAAAGAAATAACTTTTTGTTTAATTGGTCAAATATTATGTGGTTTTCTTCTGTATAATCAATTTGTGCTTTCATATTTTTAATTCATTCCTTTAATTTTCCTTATTTTAAAAAATTCTTGTTTTTATTCTGAATCATTTACTTTGTCCCTTTTTTCTCAATAAACCTTGATTTCTAAAATATGCATGTAAGTTTTACATTTTTCTCTATTCACCTTTTTACTCTTACCTTAAATATCACTTTATTAAAGAAACTTCTTATATCAGCTAGAATTATATTCTATATAACTTATAGATCTACGTTCTATATCAAATTAGCCTGAAGTTACAGACAAAGTCATAATAACAATGACTTAAACAAAATATAAAAGAAGGCTAGTGGCTGAAATGCACTCCATGATATCTGGGACCCAGTCTGGTTCCATCATTGATTTGCTATCTTCAGGACATGGCCTTTACTTCATTGTCGAATATAGTTGCCTAATAACCAGTCATTACATCCCCATTCATGCCAACAAAAAGAGGAAGGAAAGGGTGTGCTTTCACTTTTTTAAAAGATTATTTCCATAAGGTACTCCATGGCACTCGTGCTTGCTTTTATCTCACAGTCTATGATTGAGTTACAAGATGACACCTGGCTTCAAGAGAGGTTGAAGAATATAATCTATAGCTCACATACCTACATAAGCAGCTAAAATCAGAAGTATATTAGTAATAAATAAGGGGAGAATGTATATTTGGGTTAAAGTAGCCATCTATATCATATCCACTTAGACCTGACCTATTGCCCCAACTGCCCACTAGGAACAGATAGGGTCAAAAAAGTTATCCAGTTCAGAGCAGTTATTAAAGGAACATATGACTGCCTCTCTCCTTATTGGCGGTGTGGCTTGTATCCGAAAGAATTCTTGTTCACTGAATGCTAAGCCTACGAAGCAATAGAGAAATTAATTCAAGTGCTAGGACAAGGCCTTTTGAACAATGTTTCCCCAGTGTACTATACGGAATATGCCATCAATTCCTGTTTCATTTTACAAATTTTTTAAAAATTCAGAGTCTAGAAAGCATAAAACTCCATTTTTCAGACTTCCTAGAATTATTATTCTGTATGTAAATTAGGTTTTACCAATGAGATTCCTTCATGTGAGTCTTAGAATATAGGCAAAGGTTGTCTTCCACTGTTCACCAATAAGGTCAGAAAGATGTGAATGCTTGCAGCCAAGTCAGCATTCCTCTGTTTAGCCATCACCTTCATAAGGAACTGGAGACCACTGTGGCATCCAGACACTCTGTGTCAGTGTGCAGCCATCAGTTTTGGAGGTGGGAGAGGGCACTGTGGGAGCAACAACTTTGGTAGTAGTAGTAGCATCAGCTTCCTGATTCCTGTGCTGCAGCTGTGGTCATATGCCTTCAAAACCATTTCAGTGCTGACTGTCTTTCTTCTGCTTGTCCAGTTCTTCTAGTGATTTTATATAAGCATCTAAGTTCTTGTAGCTGATATCCTTTTTGGTTTTGGTTAGAGACACACAGAGTGGTTTTTGGTTTTTGTCCTGAACTCTGAATAATTCATCCAAACTCAAAATTTTATTCCTTCACTGAAATTATAAGTAATAGGAGCCTCTCAATTAGAGTTCGTAAAAGAAAAAAAAGTGTGAAACATAAAATCATCAAAGCTTTAAGGTACTAGTCCCTTAACCTGATACAACTTAGTTTAAGAATAGGGGAGAATAAAAAATTTCTGATGTACTCCTGAGAGACTAAAGATAAAAGTGTTTGATAAATTTGATGTTTATCTTTTTTAAAAAGCAGAACATGGTCTGAAGGTGAATAAAAATCTTTCTTCCTCCCTTCATGTGTAACACAGTAAGTCAAAATTAGTTTTAAAAATGTATTATTTGTAAAGAAATAATAAAGGGCTCAACATCACATTGTAAATGTTAAAAATGAAAGCTGAGTCACATATTTTAAATGACATATTATTAGGTGAACAAAGCAAGTATCAAATACTATAAATAATAAATGGGTATTTTATAAAGATAAAGAAATAAAATATTTTGTTATCATGTTTAGGCTTACTAAGCCAGATAAAATAACAGACTGAAATTTATTTATTACTTTATTCAACATTCATTCACCTATATTTATTTCAATACAGCCATGTGCTGCATAACAATGTTTGGTCAACTGTGGATGGCATATACAATGGTGGTCCTGGAAGATCATAATGGAGCTGAAAAATTTTTGTTGCCTAGTGATGCTATACCTATAGTAATGTCATAGTGCAATGCATTATCTGTTCTATGTTTAGATACACAAACACCATTGTGTTATAATTTTATCTAGTAGTCAGTACAGTAACATGATGTACAGGTTTGCAGCCTAGGAACAATAGGCTCTACTGGGTATCCTAGGTGTGTATAGTAGGCTACATTATCTGGATTTGTGTAAGTACACTCTATGATGTTGGAACAATAATGAAATTGCCTGATGACACAGTTTTCAGAATGTATTTCTGCTATTAAGCAATGAATGGCTGTGTATATTTTTCTAAGCCCGTAAGATAAAGAGCCCTCTCTGTGAGGAGAGTACTGTCTAGTGGAGAGGGGAGATTATTGATTTGTCTGAGCAGAGTACTCAGTTGATGAAACATTGGATTCAATGTATGTAAAGGAAAAATAGCCTAATTAATACATAATGGAAATGGTGGAAAAACTGAATCTTCAGGTTGAATAAACATTAGACAGAGCTTGTCATTTCTGAAAATGATAGTATTGATAATTCATATGACCCTCCTAAGGAAAACAAAATATAATGGACAAAACTTAAGAAAAAACTTCTAAACTAATGAAGAGCCAAAAACATAGTAGAAAATGGCAGAAAAAGCCCAATTTCTTATGGAAGCCTGTAATAGAGGGGTAAACAGAGTATCAGAACAACAGTTCTCATGCTCTCAGGGAATTTACAAATATTTGTACTCAGGCTTTGATCTGAAGCTATGTGGGATTAAAGAAATATAAATCAAGGCTCAGGTGTAACCACAGTTGCAGCATATTATAGAAAGATCCTCTTCATATTAAGGGACCCCTCAGGGATACATCCATAATGTAAATACACTGTAAACACAAGCAATCTAAACCTGCCCTCAGCCTCCAACTCCAGGGAATTACATAGAAATCTCCCTGATGTTAAGCAGAGCAGAAGAAAAAGAAAAAAAACAAACAAACCATGCCTGGGAAGTTGTATCTACATATTGGGGTGTGTGTATGTATTGAGATGGGGTCTTACTATACTGCCTAGGTGGGTATAGAACTCCTGAGCTCAAGTGATCTTCCCACCTCAGCCTCCTGAGTAGCTGGGACTACAGTTGCGCACCACTGCACGTGGCCCTCTTGTGTATTTGTATTTTGAATATACATAGGTTGAGATGCAAGGAGCCTCAAGCCATTTAATTAATTTGTGATGGTCCACTATTGATAGTGTTTCCAATATCCTGGCTGAAACAAATGAAAATCTCTTTTGAAAGATGGAACATGTGCAACCTAGGCTTTGTAGATACCCCACAAATAAATTTTCAAGGGCAATCAACCATGCATGTCCTACAAAGAAACAAAGACATCATGCATGAGAAGGAGCAGAAACAAAATAGAGTAGGCATAGGCCCACACAAACTTCAGATATTAGAACTATAAGGCAGATTTTAAAACAAAATATACTTACCATATATAAATAAATGACATACTTGAAAATATCTGCATGAGCAGATTGAAAAGGCACGAGGAGTTCCAGGGAAAAGTAATGTGTAATTACCGTAATCAAGACACAATCTGATAAAGATAATGAATTCCAAGGATAGAAAACAAGTTACCTACAGGTGAAGCAAACAGGCTTCAGAATTTCCCTGAGCAACATTTCATACCAAAACAGAATTGAAATGTCTACAAGATTCTGAGGGAAATAAATTATGGCTCAACTATTTTATACATAGCCAAGCTGTTGCTCAAGTACAAAGACAACAATGCAGCAAACAGGAAAGAATTCATTAAACCTTGTGCTAGTACTGATGAATTCTTACTGAAAAAAATACTACTTAAGGATAAAAATCAAGTGACTTATAGATGACTGTAGAAACTATGACAGAAGAACTAATGTTATATTTAATGTCAACAAATCTTTGAGGAAAAGAAAATCCATTGAAAAATTTTATACCCTGCTAAACTGCATTTCTCAAGCATGTGAAAAAATACAGCACCTATGAACTCTTATCTAAAGACTGACATCTGATGAAATCAAGCAAATCAAGCAATAAAACAACATAAATGATTCAGGTACAGGAAAACTAGCACAATATGACTGACAGTAAGGACTGCATTTTACTCCGGTTTGAGCACACTAGTTTTTCTCAGTTTTTTCCTGAAACTTTATGTAAATGATAGAGGGCAAGGGTTTAAAATAAACAAAGCTATAAAGACAAAAATAATGGGAAGAGAGTAAACCGTAGGGGAGAGATGTCACAAAAATTTTGGAAGATGTGAAGCACACAGACAATTGGTAACTGACAGTTTTCTTTTTGCTCTCAAATGAAAAGGAGGAAAGTTAGTAAGAAAATCAAATCTAGCCAAAGTAATAATCCAGATTGAGGACCCAGGGAGAGGCTAAAAACAACACTGGCTGAAAATATATATAAGGAGTATTTAGATCTGAGAATTCCTTTCCTAGTCAGTGAAGCAAGGCACTTTCCCTTTTCTCATCATGGCAGAAAATCGGAGGTGTAATATCCATAGTGGTTTAATAGGAAGGGCTCTGGACTACAGGACAACAGCACAACTTAGGTCAGGACTGAGATCTTAGTGAGAAAGTGGGCTAAGAAAAATTAAGACACTTTCTCTCAAACCAAGGAGCTTACAGAGTGCTAGGTGTCAAGTTTATAGTAACTTCCATCCTACCCATCCTTACTGAATTCCTCTCTGAAGAACAATGTGAGCCCAAGAGCGAAGACTTACAGATATTGACATTTTTTCTCCAAATAAAATGTTTCCTGTTTCGTTACCCTAAGGTGAGGTCCACCACTCAGTTAGTCTCACCCAAACATACAATGTTTATCAACTTTTAAGTGCCTTATTTTATAAAAGGAAAAAATAGCCTGGAAACAGTGGCTCATGCCTGTAATCCCAGCACTTTGGAAGGCTGAGATGGGTGGATCACCTGAGGTCAGGAGTTTGAGACCAGCCTGGTCAACATGGTGAAACCCCATCTCTAATAAAAATACAAAAAAATCAGCTGGGCGTGGTGGCAGGCGCCTGTAGTCCCAGCTACTCAGGAGACTGAGGCAGGAGAATCACTTAAACCCAAGAGGCGGAGGTTGCAGTGAGCTGAGATTGTACCACTGCACTCCAGTCTGGGCGACAGAGCAAGACTCTGTCTCAAAAAAAAAGAAAACAATACATAATTGGGGTAATCAAAATTTTAAAAAATCTTTTTTACTTCAAAGGACACTACCAATAAAGTGAAAACACAACTCAGAGAATGGCAGAAAGAATTTGTAAATCATGTATCTGATAAGAGTCTAGTATCTAGAATATGTAAAGAACTACTAACATTCCACAATTAAAATATTTTAAAAATTAGATTAGATAACTGGCAAAGAATTTGAGTATACATTTCTTTAAAGAAGATATTCCAATGAACAATAAACATATGAAGAGAAATATAACATCATTAGTCATTTAGGAAATGCAATTCAAACCACAATAGGATACTACTTCACACCTTCTAAGATGGCTATAATAACAAAAAATAAGTGTTGGTGAGGATGTAGACAAATTGGAACCCTCATACACTGTTGAGAGGAAAGTAAAATGGTATAGTCACTTTGGAAAGCAGTTTGATAATTCCTCCAAAAGTTATATAGAGTCAGTATGTGACCCAGTAATTCCAATCCTAGGTATACACCCAAGAGAAATGAAAATATGTTCACACAAAAACCCATACATGAATGTTCCTAGCAGCATTATTCATAATAGCCAAATCGTGGAAATAAACCCAAATGCCCACCAACTGATGAACAAACAGAATGTGGTACATTCATACAATGGGATATTATTTAGCCATAGAAAAGAACAAAGTGCTGATGCATGCTATAACATGAATGAACCTTGAAAACATTATGTTAAGTGAAAGAAGCCAGACATATTCTGTGATTCAATTTACATGAAATGTCTAGAACAGGCAAATCCAAAGAAACATAAAGTTGATTAGTGGTTTCCAGGGGCTGGAAGGAGGAGGGAATGGGGATTGACTGCTTATGCGTAACAGGTTTCTTTTTTGTGCTGATGAAAATGTGAAAAATGTTCTGGAATTAGATAGTGGTAATAATTGTACAGCCCTTGGAATATATTAAAAACCACCAAACTCAATTTTTAAAAAAGTGAATATTATGGTATGTGAATTGTATCTCACCAAAGAATTTTAAAACTGCAAGGCTACTATAGAAATAAATATGCAGAGACCAAGAAAAAGCTTTTTGAAAGTAAAATGATGATAGCAAAAGCTCAAAATTCAGCCATAGAGGAAATTTACTGGAATCCAGGAAAATAAAGACAGAAGATAGAACAAGGATAAGAAAAATTAAACATCAAACCAGGTTACTATACAACTAACAGAAATTGCAGAATAAAAAACCAAAAACCATTTAGTAGAGGAAATAATTTTTTAATTAAAAAAACCCTAACAAGCCTGTTCTAGTCTGAAGAACATGTGTCAAGATTGGCAAGTCTCATTGAGTAATTAGTGCAATAAAAGACCAAAATTCTTACACTATGACACAATGATGAAATTCTAGAACACTGGAGATACATACAAGAACCTTAATATATCTGGAGCAGGGTTTCTCAGCTTCAGCACTGTTGGCAGCTGTGACCATCAAAAATGTTTGCAGACATTGCCAAAAGTTTGATAATTGCCAAACATTTACCAAAGATGGCAAAATTGCCATTGGTTGAGAATCAGGGATCTAGAAGGAAAATAAAGTTTCTCAGAAAAGAATGAGTAATCAGAATGTTGATGATCATCTCAACTTTGGTGATTAGAAGACAACAGAGGAATGTCTTCAAAATACTAGCAGCAAATAATTCCTAACCTATAATTCCACACCCAACAAAATCTTCAAATAGACATTTGAGTTTCTGACATCTGAAATTTTTTATATTCAAACGATCAAAAGATTTATTACCAAATATTCTTCTGACAGTTAAGGGAGAAAACCAAACAAGAGGAAGATGTAACATCCAGAAGAGGAAATCAAATGCAAGAGGAAGATAAATTCCCAAGTTGGTAGGAAAAGCAAACTGCCAGCTGTGCAGTAGGTCTAGAGAGCAAACAATGTACAATGGAACAAGACTCTGAATAGCTCCAGGATGGCTCCAGGAGAAAAGAATAGAACCAATAGATTTCTTTATGAGTTTAACTTAAGCTTCAGACTTTACAAAATTTGTGGATAATTTTTAAAAATGTACATAGAAAAGTAGTTGAAAAAGAAGGCAATTATGACCTTAAAGGTAAAAAATAGGCTTTTTCCTTTTACTCTTAAGGCTTAGGTGTAAGTAACATTTTTATGGTGAAATTATATAAACATTATCTAAACAGAATTTTGATATTGCTAGGTAGAGGAAATGTGCAAGTTGTGTGTGTGTCTGTGTGTGTACCCCTTAAAAACTGGATATCCAAAACTGGGATTTGAGAAAAAGCACTTTATAAGCATATGTGATTTTAAAAATAGGGAAGTAAATATGGGAAAACACATAAGAACATCAAAAGTGGTTACCCTGGGCAGTCAGACTTGAATAAAATTGAAAAAAAAGTAGCATTATATGACTTTTAAATTAAAATTTAAAAAATATGAAATGCTGGCCAGGTGTGGTGGCTCACACCTGTAATTCCAGCACTTTGGGAGGCCGAGGAAGGTGGATTACCTGAAGTCAGGAGTTCGAGACCAGCCTGACCAACAGGTGAAACCCCATCTCTACCAAAAATACAAAATCAGCCAGGCATGGTGACACATGCCTGTCATCCCAGGTACTTGGGAGGCTGAGGCAGGAGAATTGCTTGAACCCGGGAGGTGGAGGCTGCAATGAGCCAGGATCGCGCTACTATACTCCAGCCTGGGCAGTAAGAGTGAAACTCTGTCTAAAAAAACAATATGAAATGTCTAAACAATTATGGCAAGTATTCTTTCAAAATGTATTGTAAATGTTATAAGTATTGATAAGGTAATATATATTTAATTCTAAAAGGATAAGTAAGATTAAGAAAGAAGAGAAAGGGTATAAAATGTTTATCTGCTCATTTTTAAGCAGATGGTTAAGTAATGCTAATGTCTTAATATGCATCTAATCTTGCTTTTTAAACTTTACAGGGACTACTTATCAAAGCTTAAGCAAGTTCTATAGTTTCACACTTCGTTTTATTGTATTCAATCTGATCATTTTAATCAGAAGCTATCAATTTATTATAGATCATTTTATAAAATTATTTTCATCTATTACTTTATTCTTATATGCATCCATTGAAATATTTTAGAATTATGTTGACTTAATGAAATTAGTTCTGATGGTGGAATAATGATGCTAATTTGCTTTCTTTTGTACTTACTGTATGTTTGAATCATACGTTTATATATTTATTTATTTATTTATTTTTGAGATGGAATCTGTCTCTGTCACCCAAGCTGGACTACAGTGGCATGATCTCAGCTCACTGCAACCTCCACCTCCCAGGCACAAGGAATTCTCCTGCCTTAGCCTCCCGAGTAACTAGGATTACAGGCACTCACCACCATGCCCAGCTAATTTTTGTGTTTTTAGTGGAGATGGGTTTCATCATGTTGACCAGACTGGTCTCGAACTCCTGACCTCAGGTGATCCACCCACCTCGCCTCCCAAAGTGCTAGGATTACAGATGTGAGCCACTGCACCCCAGTTGCTATATATTATTTTAAAAGAAGGAGAATCATTATTTACATACCAAAGCCATTTATTATTTTTTTAAAAAGCAATCACAAGTCAACCAACCTTTTTTCTATTATTTTTTCATGTAATAGGAGTTGAATCCTTTAGAATAACACCCGATGGTCTATAAATATCAATTTTGAAAGAAAAAATTCAAGAGAGAAAACATCACCTAGGTAAAATATTGGTTCATTTGAGGGAAGAGTAGTGTTTTTGAAACAACACAACAGAAATGCAACAATTTACAAGATTACTAAAATTTTTGCATAAATGAAAAGTATTTTTTAAACTAAAAGCTGTGATTTACAATAGACTTAGAGTCATGCTGATGATAATCAGAAAGTTAGAAACACCATTCTCTTAATCATAGCGTATCAATGAACAAGTTCAAATATTGGGAACCTGAAAACACCTGTGAGTTTCAAAATCTGACCAAACAAAAACAACAACCCTAGGAAACACCATTTATCTGCTATTGTGTGCACATGCTATAACTAACATAGCTGACAACCACCACAACAAAAATTAGAGGGAATGGAAAATAGTCCAGCAGGCTGAAATAGCTATAAATATAACAGCCATTACTAATGTGTGAATATGTGACTGTGTGAATGAGAGAATTGGGAACTTACAGATGAATAGTGAATTCTATGATTTATCACGACCTGTTGTCAGATTCCTAATTGAACCCAAAATCATTCCTGGAGTTGGAGTTTGCCTCGCTGTCCCTGCCAGTCCCTTCACCCAAGAAGTTGGGAAGTATCGGTTTAAGAAACTTGAACTGGCTCTCAGAGCTTTCTGCCAGGTAAACTTCATACTGATAATTCTGGGACAGGGTCCCGGTGCCGCTCATGTCCACCAGATGCCCTGGAAAGGCGCCCTCGGGCACCAAGTAGCGACCCACCGAGGCCGCCCTGCTCCTCCTGCACAGCCGCACCGCCACGAACAGGAGCAACGACAAGAGGAAGAGCGACGACACCGAAGCCAACGCGACCACCAGGTAGACGGTGAGCGAGTCGGCCTGGGCTTGGGCCGGGGCCGCCTCCGGGAGCGGCAGGTAGGGCTGGGAGAAGCTGTCCACCAGGAGCACGTGCAACGTGGCAGTGGCCGAGCGCGGAGGCTCGCCGTTGTCCTTGACCAGCACCACCAGCCTGTGCTTGGCCGCGTCGCGCTCGCTCAGCAGCCTGGAGGTGCGCACCTCGCCATTGTGAGCCCACACGCCAAAGAGCCCGGGCTCCGTGGCCTTGAGCAACTGGTACGACAGCCAGGCGTTCTGGCCCGAGTCGCCGTCCACCGCCACCACCTTGGTCACCAGGTAGCCCGGCTCGGCCGCCCGGGGCACCAGCTC